GGAGGTCGGCATTGGTGTTGACATCATCACTCGCTGGTAGTCAAGTTGTCTGGTTGCTGTCATTGCTGTAGTTGTAGGATAGGCTGTAGAGTAGATAGGGCGCCTGGCGCCATTCACAAGAGAGAGCTACATTTGGGTTATGCTGTTGGTGTTGCCCTGTTGGGCATGGACATTGACTCACGATTCTTCTGTATCATTCTCAATTGGATGGTTACTCGGTTCCATTGTGCTATCTGCTTTGGCTCTGACTACTTGGACTTCAGTGTGATTTTGCATTCTGGATTTCTGTGCTTCATCCATATTCATGTTCCTTGCATTATTTATTTATTTTAAATTATTTATTTATTTAGTTAGTTATTCAAAGGGCAACAGCGTTGAGATATCATCATGGAAACTGACCCGCCCCAGGTAATTCAGAATTTCTTTTATTCTGGTCATCTGATTTTAGCTGGATTCGAACTTGGGTCTGTATTTCTTTTTTTGATCTTTTGTTTTTTTTTTCCTTTCTTTTTTTGTATTTCAACAGTTCGTGGGTGCACCAACTGAGCTAGGCTGGTTGGTGAAGGTGCAACATTATCAAATTTGTGATTCAAACTATTGTCGTCCGCCGAGCACAGCACACCCTGATACAAGTGATTTTTCCGGCCCCATACAGTCATGATCAGGGTAAAGTTTGATTGGGGTAAAAGGAGGTAGCTGCCGGAAGATGCAATTAACTCCACAGTTTCAGTTTTCCATTTTTTTTTTGAATTCCTGGGAAGTGTAGCAGGAAGGCACAGTGGCTCTTCTTTGTTATGCTCTGCTCTACACTACTCTTCTCTGCTATCCTCTGATCTGCTCTGTGGATGCGTTTTCCCCAACTTGCCATTCAAACTACCGTCTTCACCCGAATCGAACGCCCGGTTATTATGGCCGCATCTGGACTGAAAGTTGGCCCAAATACGGCTACATTGACAGGGCGTTCTATTCAGGTGAAGGCGGTAGCGTCCACCCTCGAACACTAGACAAACCATCTTTTCGGCTAAACAATACAGTCAGGAGGAGGGTGTATCGTGTTTTCTAGGGGGAAGATGGTAGCTGCGGAAAGATGCAATTCATTCTCCTACCTTGCCATCTCCATTTTGAAATCCTTGGAATGTAGCAGGAATTCTGGAAAGCCTTAGTGCGCATTGGGATGAATTTCCCAATTCACCATTAAAAACAGTGTCCTCTCTCAGACACTACACGTCCTGATCATGAAAGTATACAAGCTCTCTCTCTCTCTCTCTCTCTCTCTCTCTCTCTCTCTCTCTCTCTCTCTCTCTCTCTCTCTCTCTCTC